CCCTTTGTCACCATTCATTACCGCCATACAATCTTGATCCTTTTTCTATTGTTTTATTGATGTTGCTCAATTTATTAGCCACAAAGATGTCTCAGTACTAAGTCTTTTTCTCTTTAATCACTCTAGCATCTGAAAGTGACCGATACCCATTCCTTCTTAATATGTCTTTCTTACTTCTGTTGAAAGTTCATGGAAAGGATCTTTTAAGCAGCAAGTAATATGTAAAATATAAAAGATAACATAATAATGATGATAATCAATGAAAAAGCAAACTTGTTGCCATTGTTCTATTTCAGCTCTTAATGATCTTATAGAACAGAATAGAAAGCCTGCCTCAGATTTTCCAAGGCTGCAAATCTTCACTGAATCACATCTTTCTCCCAGGGAGTAGTTGGTGGATTTGAATCAGAAATCATTTGATTAGCAGCCAAGCCATGTATTTGTTCTACTTTTTGGCCATGTATGGCTCCTCTGTATTAACTTTTCTTGATATCTTTATATTTTATCCTTTAAGTAAATCTTTCTTTCTCATTATTTCAAATATTGGATGGCTACCAAATTTTCATATTCAGTTTTGATTGGTCATTCTTGTCATTCATCATGACATGTTTATCAATAAATAGCCTTTTGACTTTATCTTATTGTCATATTTTAGTTCTTACTCATTGCAGCCACTAGCTCCCTCCAAATTTGTAGTAATAATCAGTGAGTTTAAGTCTTTGCTCTGCTAGTAGTAGCTGTGAAATCTTGAATAAATTAATTTACATCTGTACAGAATGATTAAAGGATGAAATAGTATTCGGTGTAAGATGAAATTTTATTTAAAGTTTGTATAACGTGAATATTTGTTTTAGATCATGAAAAAAATAAACATAATCATATGATAGAGTAAAAGCAGTACTGGATTTGGAATGAGAAAACCTGATTTTTGTTTCCTCTCTGATCTGATTTGTGGCATATAAATTTCTAACATTTTGAGCTTGAGATTCCTTATCTATAAATGAAAATAATTCCATATCCTGAATATCCCACCTGAAGGGTAATCCTTAGGAATAATGACATGAAAGTATTTGGTAAATATTTGCCAGCTCAAAATTCCCTAGAGTAAGTATTTCAGAAACATTTATCATCTGGTAAAAGACTATATTTTCTTCTCTATATAATGGAAGAACATGAAAGATGCTATTAATTACATGCTAAAGACTGGAAGATAGCAGCTGAATAAAAGTTCCCTGATGAACTGCTTTTGGAACAATCATCACTTGTTTTTTCTTCTTTTCATATGCTCTGTTGTTGTTATTTTTGAAGACTTTGTGAAATTAAAACAAGGGTCAATTTAAATCTGGAGGTGAGGTTTCCTTAAGATTTATATCTGGAAATTTACATCAAGAATATCAGGCATTCTCTTCATGTAAGAGGTTGGGAAATGTGTTAAAGCCGTTTTCACTTTGTTTTATGCATGCTGGGCTTTCTAGATAAACAGGAACTGTGGAAATTAATGACCTTGAAGAAGTGTCTTTATCTCAGAGAATTTTTACCAACAAGAAAGCTTTACTGTTTATATCACTCTGTATTCTAGAAAACAAAGAGACAGAAGAAATAGACCTTATCATCCTTGAACTCAGAAGGGAGCTTTAAAATGTTCATGGAAAATGGAATTAACAAAAAAAAAGATAATGGAATTTTCCCATGAACTTTTTGAAGCCTCCTTACATATTTTCAGAGACAGTAAAAGGATAGTGAAAGACAAAACAGATAACACTGAAGAGTGATAATTAGCAGTAAGGGATTTGCTCTAGGTAATGCCCAGGGTATTCTCGCCTCTCACAATACCTTCCCCACAACCATTTAGTTTATGGAAACCTCTTCAGAGCCTTCTGTGTAGGGTTTCCTTTGAATTTTCTAGCAGATACTTGTGTTTTTGCCAACAAAAAACACCTGGAACTTCTCCTTTGGGGCTATGTATGGTAGTTTATTTGTGGTGAGGGAAATTTTTGAGTTTCTAATTAAGCTTAAGTGACAGATGGAAAAGATTAAGATGAACTAGAGTGGTGGTTACCAGTGGGGCTGCTAACCCCAGGGTCAGCAGTTTGCAACTACCAGCTGTTCCGCGGGAGAAAGATGAGGCTTTCTGCTCCCGTAAAGATTTACAGCCTCAGAAATGCTGTACAGGGTCGCTATGAGTCGAAACCGCCTCTACGTCACAGAACAACAAGAAGTGCAACTGATGACTTTGAATTTCAATTCATTTTCACATGTAACTAGTGATTATTACCTAAGAAATCTAGAGTTTATTTTATTTTATTATTTTTCTAGTATGGAGAATCTCAACCCATCTAGTATTAGGAAATTTAGAAAGAATCTTTTTCTATACCTGGCTTTGTGTCCCTTACTAGATCACTACTTTCTTATTTGTAAATACGTGT